CATTAAACCACATTCTAAAGCCTTTAGACTGTGACTAGACATTTGGTTAAAGGTGGTGATGGGCTTTAAAAGCGAGTACTGTTACAAGGATCAGTCATCTTGTATTGTTTCTATCTTTCCTTTTGCTACATCATTTGGCTGTGTGTGTATATATGCCTTACCGGTCCATCTAGCACATCAATTAATTCATGGGTACACCCTAAGTCTTTTGGGTAGAACTCCCCTCATGTCCCTAGGCTGTCAGCAGCTGTGACACTTTATACAGATTATCCTGCGTTTATCAACAGGAAGGCTGGATACATTGGGTCAATACTACAGAAATATGCTCTGTGTCACAAAATGGTTTCCTAGAAGTCAATGTGTACTCCTCTCCCTGCACTAGAGGTTGCATTGGCAAATTAAAGTGACGCTAAACTCAGGAGTCAAATCTTAAAAATGACTTCAAGTACTTTAACTATTGACAATTGTGTACCTTATTTGTTTATCACTCAGATGTAGATCCTCAAATCATCTCTGAATTCATGCTGCCACTGTCCTTCTGGAGGGTGGTTACTTTTGGTCCCTGTGTGTGTTGTAAAGTAGTTATCGCTCCAAGCACACTCCTGTGATGGACTACAATCTCACATTCAGTTTATTAATTTGTATCGAGATTGTAGTCCATCACAGGAGCAAGCTCGGAGCGGTGGCTACTTTACAACACACACAGAAATCGCGAGGAACAAAGGTAGCCACCCTCCAGAAGGAAAGACATTGTCAGCACCAATTCAGAGATAATTTGGGGATCTAGAGTGATACACAAATAAGATGCAGTTTTGTTAATAGTTAAGGTACTTGAATGCATTTTAAGATTTAACTCTTGAGTTTAGTGTCACTTTAAATCTCTCTGGTGGATCACTGGCAGCCATTTTGTAGATGGTCTTTTTAATGAAAAATTCTATGTTTGCACAGACTCTTGTTGTGTCTTATTCTCTTATGAAGGCCACAAAATTATGACAACACAGCAATGTTTGCATAGATAAATAATTACATTTACATATGTAATAAATACTCTCTTAGGATGGCAGGGTTACATTTGCAGACAATTAATATTTCCCATGTAGTTATGGTTACTAACAGCTAATAATGTCTATTCCAATAAACACAGTTTACAAAGCTGACAGGCATTTGTATGCAATCCATTTTCAAAGAGAACAGAAAGAGAAAATAGAGTGGGGCACACAAAGCAATCTGTGTAAGTACTTTGCAATTTGTGGTGATATATTTCCTCTCTGCCTTTTATAATTTCTCAATCATTGAAGACTGATTTAGCAAGCATTTATTTGATTAAAGTTAACGGCTTGAGCTCTTTTACACATAATTAAAATTACTTGAAATCCTTGTTCAGCAGAGGCTGTGAAGAGCAAAATTAATGTTAGTTTGTTGCAAACCAGGAGTGATTTAAGCCTGGGGCAATGTAAAAATGGCATGTTGATTGCACCTTTTTCCTCACTGAGGTGTGTTCAGGGTGTTTCACAGCAAGTTCTCTCATCATCTTCTGAGTTTCTGAAAATGTGTACTGTGTTTGTGTTTTGAAAGTGGTGGCTTAGTTATAGTGATATTTAGGTATAGGTTGAGTCTGGAGGGTGGATTCAGCCCTTGGATTCCAAAGTGTCTGGGATACTATAACAATGAGATCTCCTTGCCATCATTTCTATTCCTGTCAACCTGGGAATTTTGGGTCACCTCCACCCCCACCATCACCTTTGCGTGTTCCAAGACCTCCTGCTATAAAATAAATAAAGAATCCAGCAGGGAGAGTTGGGTAACAATGGTGTAGAATTACCTCAGTTTGTACATGGTTTGGTGACAGTAGATGTAGTTTTGTAACCTTTATACAGCCTGGTAAGCATCAATAACTGGAAGAAACCCTATACGAATTCTCATTTAATTTCCTTGAACTAAGCCTCAGTGACAGTGCCATGCTGGCGGAGGAGGGTGCTAGGGGTCCTCTTCTCACAAATTCAGAAGATAACATCAAGTCCTTTTAGACTGGAAATATGGCAGGCTTGGTGGAATAATCAGGACAATCTTTCACAGGATCACCTGAGGGAGCCTCTTTCAACTAGTAAGAATTAGTAAAAGTGCCATTACATGGGGCTGGGTTGCTCATCTCAAGAATGGTTATTGTCCAATGTCTGTGATCAAACTTCCTCCAAAACCAGGAAGCTAAGAGCCATTGTGGAAGCACTGTTACTTAGCGTCATGTTCAAGAATTGCCATGTCCACGTCTTTTAAGACAATGTGACGGCAGTATATTGCATCAACTATCATGGAATCACAGATGCCCACGATCAATGGATGAGACAGTGATAGTCCTTCATTGGGAAGAGGCATATTTCCTATCCCTGTCAGAATTCCAGTTAAAGGGTAATCTGAACTAACTACCAGACTTCATGAGCAGGAAGAAGATGAAGTAGATAACATGCATCCTGAATAAAGAAATGTTTCTTTAACGTAAAAGGCAGGTGGGGCATGCCAGAAATAGATCTATTTGCTTCCAAATTTTTGCATTTTTTTTCTCTGAATACCACTAGACATTTTCTCTGGCATGCAACTTTACATCTTTACCTCTTATGTCTCATTTAATAGATATATATATATATACATAGATAGATAGATAGATAGATAGATAGATAGATAGATAGATAGATAGATACGGTAGAGGGGTTGCTTTTTATCTGCAAGGAGGGGGTGAATGTAAAAACAGGCAGTATACAATAGTGTAATACTTTTCAAGAGAAATGGAATGCAGGGTGGAAAGTATCAGGATGTAACCATTGGTGTCAGCATATGTGAGCATTGCTAACCTTAATTATGCTAACCTTAGCTTATAAATGCTACTGTGAAAAGCATCAGATTTAGTGAGCATTTCAAAACTCTAAAGTATATCATAAGCCCAAACATTTATTTTTTTCCTTTTGGATATTGTAGAAAATGGTTAAAACCCCTGACACAATGGGGTTGATTTACTAACCTTATAAACACACCACGAACATGTATACACCTCTGTAGTGTGTTCCCTCCCAGCATGATCTATGGGTGGAATCTAAACACCTTTGTAGTGTGTACACACCCAGCAGGTGTGTTGTGCAAAGCCCTGCCCTGGATTGCAAGGTGATGTTGTGTAAATTAGCTCTACATTGTGTTGCTTGCGTTGATGAATGCAGGAATGTAAATGCATGAACTAACCATTTTTGTCTAAACTGTGAAGCAGCATTATATATGCATCATGTGCATGATTTTTCCATATATGGCATTAGTGGAAATATGCTTATAGAGACTTTTTGGTTGATAAATACGCTTTGCTGTGTAAAAATCACACGCACCTGGTGCGTGCGTGTGTTTAGGTTAGTAAATCACCCCCAATGTGTCGAGAATTCCCATAATTTTCTATCCTGTAGACACAGCAAGAAGTAAGAAGAAATCTATCCAAACTGAGGGAAATGTCTTCATGAACACCACAAGTGTCCCCATTAGAGGATTTCCTTTCTAGTCCTATTTTTCTGACAACTCAAAATTCTGGATTTTTTCTCACTTTCAGTCCCAGTGACAGTGGTCTCAATGACACTCAATGACAGATAGAGAGGGTGAATCTCCTTATTAAAGGCCCAGGCAGCAATAAAAACCTGACAGGTTTTAATACTTCACCACTCACAAAGTTTAAAAATTACTTTTGATACACTTTAAACAAGTTCGGAGTACATTTCTTACGGCCCATAATGGATTCTTCAGCTTCTGTCTGTTACTAAGTTAAACTTTGGGCACAAAAACTATTATCTAAATATATTCCTCAATAGCTATAAAGGATAGAAATCCACTTTGTCAAATGCATTGTAAAAGAAATGGTGACATCATAATTGTGCTGCACATAGCCTGGGCAGAGAAAAGAGCTGTGGAATGGACCCAACAAGTCCTCCCACGGTAGGCTTCTTGCAGAAAACTAAAGGAGGGGGCAGATACAAGATCAGTTTTCCTGCACAAGGAAGGAGAGCTTCAGTGACTGGTCCTAATACATGAAGTTTTACACAGATCTAAAAAAAAAGAATTACACTAAGCACACCAAGCTTCAAGTAAAAATTCTCAATTCCTTTTGTATTTAGACAATATTTGCTTATTGCAGAATGCAGGTTTCATGCAGATCTTATAGTGTATCTCCAGGCAAATACAAATAAAATTGTACTTCCCATATTAATTCCCAAGCTCAGCTCTTTTTACCTCCAGATGTTCTTAAACTAAAACTACCTATTATGATGTTTTCTAGAAGATCCCATTGTCTGGGTGTTTTGCATACTTTTTTGTTTTTAGTCTACTAAGCACTAGGATGTTTTTTTATTGTTTTTAACTATTTTAAAGATTTCCAATAAGTAAAATTGATTCTGGTCTGAGTCATCATTTCTTAACCAGGGGGCAGTGTCACCCTGTTGTGCCTTCTGGCTTCCTCAGAGGTGCCTCAAAAATAGATGGGCGAGTCCTGATAGTTTCGGCCAGAGGTTCAATAAGAAGGTTGATAATTATTGGGGAGAGGGGGCACCCCTGACACGTGCCATTGGTGATGAGTAAAGGTTTAGAGGGTTGGGAATAAAGTGCCATTATAGGGGTTATTGATTTTAAGGGGGCACTTTGATGTGAAGGGGGAAACCCACTTTTTTGTGTGTTTTTTGAATGTGTTTAAAAGATTGAGAAATGCTAGCCTAACTTGCGCAACCCCTACCTTTATTTTTTTCTCTGTGTTCTGGTTAACCAGTAGTAGGCATGTCATGGAAGCTGTACATACCAACCGTAATGTATGAAGTGTACTGAAGTTTTCATCTTTCATCTATATATTTCCCTGACCAATGTATATACTTTCTGTAATAATTACTGCATTCCATTAACCATACAACTGTCAGCTTGCTGTTTATTTCACCTTTAGATTTGGTCTTCAAGTAAATATAAAGTTTTTTCCTTTGTATTTCTTCCAGTGATGGCTGGGCAGACAGAGATGAAGTTATAGATGGCTATGAAGCTGAAGCCAGTGGTGGAATTACCATAAAGCTTCGTTCACCAGAGGTGAAGTCCTTTGATGAGTATTTTCTGAATCTACGGTTGGATAATAATTCCCGAAATCCATGGTTTAGTGAGTTTTGGCAATATCGATTCCAGTGTCGTATTCCAGGGCACCCACAAGAGAACCCTAATTTTAAAAAGATTTGTAAAGGTAACATTATTGACAAATTGATCTTTAAACTCGTGTTTAACAATTTATTTCAGCTATTTTATGCATGTCCGATATTATACTCTCAAAACTATAAGAGTTATGGTATTCCTATAGAAAAAGCAGTGACAGGGTGGGGGATATGTATTGAGGAAGACACAAACTTTAGAGTTTATGTAGAGTTAATGTCTACTAAAACAACATGTGTAACTTAATCATGAATGGGTCTTTTGGCATTTTTATTTGATCCGTGACTTGTCTGTGTTCAGTTTGCATACATGTATTTCACATTTGTTACGCCAGCCCAGGTGTCACTACATAAATAATGCCAACTTTTGTTAAATATTAGGTCAAACTATGGGAATATTAGCAATTCCCAGCCTTGTCGGTAAATACATAATGCTTGTGTAATAGAGTGTTAACCTCTTACGTCACCATACACATTACAATCTGGCCATAAAAGCTTTATACAATCAACTGTAAATTTACAAAAACCTACCTAACCTATCCAATAAATCTGTATCCAATAAAGAAGTAATTTCACTACATACAGTAGTTGATGGTAGATCTAAAGAAGATTGTATAGGCATATTGTAATGGCTATGGTGAATTTAAGAGCAGTCAATACATTCTGCTTGCTCTGTGATCTTCCTCCTAGTGAGGAGCTAATTCTGGCTCCCATAGTGAAAACTTCAGCAATCACTGGAGACTGTAGAGAAGGTGAGGCTTCTGTACTACACCATCATCAAGTCTCTAGTCCAAGAAAAATAATGCAAAAAAATGTGCTTCTTTGAAGCTTGCTGGCTTTGGACGCAGGAAATTATGGTGAGTACATGGTACAAAATTACTTTTTACCTCTGGAGGAGGAGATTTGCAACAGGTTATGAGATCAAAGAACATGTGTCTTCAATTATGGGACACAATCTTACTTGTGGCATGCAAATATGTGATCAGAACATATTTAAAGCCCAACACTGGAGAAAAAAAAAACACTACAAAGGTTAAATGGTCATTAGGTCTAGGAGGTACAAGAAGAGGATGTATTACTTAGCTTAACCACTGCTACAGCAGGTGCCAGCCTCTCCTCTTCTCCCTGATGGTGGGTTGTGGATGGCCCCTTAGAGTCATCACATACAATGCAGGGCTATTAACCCTGCATTGTACATGAGGAGTAAAGTTTGTGACCAAAGCCTGCACATCGCCAGTTGCACAGGTGGGAAAGGCCCAGTATTAGTCCTTCTCCCTCTACCCCTAGACTTAACAAGCATTTAACCCTTGCAGTGCCAGAGAAGAAACATAGGCATTTACACAAATAATACATGTAAGAAGGATATATTTATGGAATTTATACAAATATAAAAAGGTTCCAATTACAGAAAGTTATAAATAGTATAATAAACTATGCACAGAAAATAGCAATCTGACACAAATATACAACTGCATTTAAATAGACTATATGCACCCTATTTTAAGCATCTACCAAAGTAATAATTGATCTATCCCCTCAATGAAGAGTAACTTAAATCTCTTCAATCAGGTCTTCAATCAGTAGAAAGTTCTAATGGCTGATGTATTATATTATCAAGGATCATAGTCATCATGGTGTCTTCTCTTGCTCAGAACACACAGGTGTGGATGCTGTTTTCTATTCCTCTCCTCAACAGATGTGTTCTCCCCACCTTATGACTGTCTTCCTTTTCTTCTCTATAGTTGAATCGGCAGAAATTCAAGCCATGGCTTGCCCTATCAACACCAAGCTCGACAAATGTCAGTTTAAAAATTGACTAAGCTGGAAAGAAAATTATCAGCAGAACAGTTACTGCTTCCTTTCAGAGGCCTGAATACCATAGTCAGCAGTGGAGATTCCCTCTTCCTGGCTGTTTAGCATGGTTGGGGGAATTTACTGGCTTCTCCCATTCGGCACAACCCAACTATGATTACAATTACAGAATCGAAGAAGTTGAGTTGAAAACTGTTGTCTGAACAGTAACTGCAACCAGTCAGATGCAGCCACTGTTCGGGTATGCGGGTGAGGCTGTCAGAACACAATAGCCGGCAGCGGGAGATTCCTAAATCCATGCTGTTTAGCATGGATGGGGTAATCAAGTGAACCCTGTATGGTTAGCTTTAGTCTTAAACCTGTAAGAGTGCTAACAAGTTCACTGTAATAAGGCAAACTGTAAAGTACAAGGCAATAGCCAACCAAAGTCCTTCCTACCTGTGATGTGACCTCAGTGAACTAAATTCTAATTGTCTGCTATGGTTTACTGCGCTCTGCACATCATTATTGCCTGATAGAGCTCTGAATAATCACAGCAGAGGATCTTCTTTAATAATTAGTCTTTCTCAAAGCTGCTGGAGAGAGAAGTGCCTGGACCACACAATACATTGCTTATGAATGTGCACATAGTTCATATACTGCTTATTACAGGTATTATCTTCACAATGTGGTATTTATTTTACGGGAGATGTCAAAAAGTGACATTACAACTTTTGGTCTAGTTTTGAAGCCTGGTTGATTTGAAGAAAACTTTTAAAATCTACAGTACTTGAAAACTCCAAAAAAGGAAAGCAAACAGAGCAGTAATTGCTACAAAAAGAGCCGCTGCTGTATATGAAATACATTGCAATATGAACTGAGCCATATCCAATTAGTTGTTGGAAATGTAGTGATCCATAACACCCCATGAACACTTAAAGACAGTGATTTGTGAAAATGTTCCAGTGAATCAGTTTAATGTTTGTTCATTTTTATATGCTCGTTATTCTAATATGCTAATACATTGAAAAAAATTACTTTGCTGAGGGGGAAAAAAAACAGCAACAACCCTTTCCACGTCACATGTATCCACTGCAAAGATTTTAACAAACTTCACTTAAAGTAACATTAAAGTTACAAATATTTTCCTCCCCCACCATGCTGCTTTAAGGACTTACGGTACTTTAAATGATGCCTCTTGATCTGATCATCTTTTTTCTTCCACTTGTATTCAGCAATCCCTCCAGCACTGGTGCCGGTCTCCAGTGGTGTAGCATGGGGGGTGGGGGCAATTGCCCCTGGTCGCCGGTCTGAAGAGGGCGCTGGCAGGGCCGGATATGCCATAAGGTGGCAGGGAGCAGAGGGGCGGCAGGGATTCCAATCGCCCGACGCCGGGGACATGAAGTTCCGGGCGCTGGGTGGGTAGTTGTTTTTTACATTTAGCCCTGCTTTCATCAGGATCAGGTGAGCTCTGTACCCCACAGCTGAGATGAGAAGTCATGTGAGCTATGTACCCCATAGCAGCGGCAGAGACAGAGGTAAGAATTAACCTTTTTGGTAACTTTTTTATTTTTTTAAATGTTTTTGCATATATCTACTGCTTGCTTGCAGTAGATATATGCAAAGAAAACCCCCAAGTTCTAATTGTACTTTAACATTTATGCATTTCGCGGTTTGATAGACGCTCTTACCTGCATTTGACTCCTGCTTCGAATGTGCCAGGTCGAAGGACTTGCCTAATACAGTCTTATGATCAGACCTGGCATATAAAGTATAACTATAGCCAAAAAGTAAAAATCACAGACCTCATTACTCATATATATAGATGACCCCTTTAAGTTGGTCCAAGCTCTTTCATTCATATAATAATCAATTGGTGACCTTGACATTGCTATTTTGCTTGCATTGAATGCACTCCAGGATTGTCACACTGTGAAACTGCTTCTTTAGGCCTGGTTCACAACTGTACGTTTTGTAGCGCGTTCAACGCTCTACAAAACGCTCAAACATGAAAATCCCATTGTTTTCTATGGGTATGGTTCACACCTCGCCCTCTGAAATGGAATTTCTGAGGATATTTAATGCACATACAATGTAAAGAGTATCGCTACTTGCCACAGTTATAAGAAAACATTTTTTTGTCAGTTTTAAAAAAGTATTTGCTGGCTACAGATTGCAATAGAGAGGTAGTAGAAAATGACTTGTTTGCAATCATATATGAATTACATTTTTAATAAAAAAACATTTTGTGAAAATTAAGTGTTTTTATATGAACACTTGGTGTATTTCTAAAATGTTCAAAGCGATGTTCATTGTGTGATCGTCTAAGTTTTAGATTTTTACCACATTATGGCCTCTAGATGGAGCCCAGGAGCCATAATGCAGTACAAATCTAAAACGAAGGGGTCTATTCACAAAGCTGCCGAGGGCAGCCGAGAGAATGACTGATCAGAAGTGAAGTGAACATTCACAGAGTGAACAACTCTGTGAAAGTTTTATAAATACACCCTTAAGTTATCCTTTTCTCACCTAAAATAGAACGCTTAGACATGTAACAAGTTATTTTTGACTGTAAGTATTGAGATTATTGTTCCTCTCATTGCCCGATTCCCTAAGGCAATCAGGCATTAACCTTCAACCTCTGCCAATGAGAGAATTGCAATCTACGCCCCCTTGGCACAAATGTACTTACAGACGTTTACTTGACAAGAGATCTCTTTACTACACAGTAGGTTTATCTCACCAAGGTACGCTTCATGTGTTATTTGCCATAACAATCATTATCAGCCTTGTAATTTCTCTTTTTGCCTGTCATTGCCTCTAATTGCTGAAATTATCAGTAGTTATAGCTTGGGAACTGAAGCCAATGCCTTTTTAACAGAAGCAGTAATGATAGCATAGGAGGACTGGGCTATGATGACCAAATTTCAGAGAGCTGCAATGTCAGTCCTAAAAGTCTTTCCTCTGCTAAGTATTGTGTCACAATAAACCACGAAACACCCACTGTTGACCAAACCTACCTATCACTGTGGGAATATGACACACTTTGCATGGTGCCCCCAGGAAGCCACTGCAACCGTAAAAGAGCCATTTGCTTGTAATGTTCTCCAGGTCAACAGTTTCCAGTCCTCCATTGGAGGGGGGTCTCTTGCAAGAAGGAGGAATCAAGCTGCATGCAGCTTCGCAATATTGGACTATTCTGGCTTGACAACTTTCTCCTGTGGACTATCGAACGCTCAGATCC